CATTTCTTAATTTTTATGTTTTCGGACAGCAGATGATAAGACGAGGTTCTGGACTGAATGGTAGCAAGCACTGCCCGAGTTAAATTTCCTCTTAATTTCCTCCTGCATCAGGTTTTGATTTGTTATTGTTGTTCCCAAATATCCGAACTGTGCCACATTTTCAAAACATCTTTTATCTATTCATCTTTTGCTCTGCAGTTTGGTGATGAGGAAGCAACATATACTTAGTTTTCTCTGTGTTTACTTCTAGACCAAGTTCCTTACTAGCNCCACCTGGTTTTCTGGGACCTTCCTAATGGCATATTCTAAAGCAAAAGTGAAAAGGAGTGGCGACAAAGCATCTCCTTGTTTTAGACCATTCTGGATAGGGAAATTATCAGACAAATGTTTATCTATATGAACTTTACTACACGTTTCGTTTAAACACATTTTAATAAGCCTAACTAGTTTCATGGGTACCCCAAACATTGTACAATACTTCCCTCCTAATTGAATCATAGGCTTCCTTGAAGTCTACAAATAGCTGATGTAATGTTATATTTTAGCATCCTGTTGATGTAGTCTAATTTTTTCTCCAGGATCTGACAAATGCAAAAGATTGGATCAGTAATTGATCTGTTGTGTCGAAAACCACACTGATGATCCACAATAATTTCATCTGTGTATGGACTTAACCTTGAGAGAAAAATATTTGATAACATTTTGTATGAAGTTGATAGCAGTGATATCCTCTGATAATTACTACAGTCGGCATTATTACCCTTCTTGTGAACTGGTACAATAATCGACTCCTTCCACTGATCAGGCAATTTTTCCTTATGCCAAATAGAAGTAACTAGCTTATGGATCTTAGAATGTAATATTTCGCCTCCTGCATGAATAAGTTCTGCAGGAATTTGATCACTACCTGGTGGTTTATACCGTTTCAATTTTACATCAACCTCAAAAGGGCTAGGATCACCTATTAACGGCTCAGCTGTATGTACTTCTATCTGCCTAACATCACTGACCCCGTGTACATTCTCATAACTGAGAGAAGTATGTATGTAGTTCTCCCACCTATTCACTATGTTTTGGGAATCTGCCAGTAGATCACCATTCTCATCCTTCACTATGTTACTTCTAGGCTGATAACCCCTCTTGAAGTAATTTATTCCTCTATACAGGTATCTAATGTTCTTGTTCTTACTGTTCATTGAAAGATCAATTTGGTCTTTCACATATTCCCTCTTTTTATTTTTGAAATGCCTGCTGGTTTCACGTCTTATATTCAGATTATCTTCATTTGTTTTGCTTGGATCCTGTAACCACTGCAATTTTTTTTTCTTAATAATTTTGAGTATCCTTCATTGAACAATGGCTTATGCTTCTTCAGTTCATAACATAGGCTCTCTTTGGCACACATTTTGATATTCTCTCTAATAGTTTCCCAAGCTTTATTGACATTCAACTCAGTGTCTAAGTTTTCCAAAGCTGTGAACTTATTTGAGATTTCAACGCAATACTGCTCTTTACCCTCTGCCTCATTTAATATCTTGAGATTGAACCTTTCCATACGAACTCTGTGTGTCATTTGTTTACTCATTGCCAGTTTTGCCCTAACCTTTGGCCATCACCAGGTAGTGGTCAGTATCAAAATCTGCAGCCCTGAATGATCAGACATCAAGTATACTTGAATGCCATCTTTCTATCAAAATATGGTCAATTTGATTGTGCATCTTCCCATCAGGCAATGTCCAAGTAAATTTGTGCATGTTACGATTGGGGAACATTGTACTTCTGACAGTAAGATTTTTTGATGTGGCAGAGTTTACTACTCTAACTCCATTATCATTAACATTTTGTGCAAACTCTCATTCCCAATTGTTGGTTTGAAAATATCTTCCTGTAGCATAGTGGTTGAGGAGCTATGCTACAAGCCGGAAGGTTGCGAGTTCAAGTCCTGATGAGGTCATTGGATTTTTTCAGTTGACCCAATCCTTCCAGCCGCACTGGGCCCTGGGGTTTACTCAGCCTCTAACATAAATGAGTACCAGGAATTAATTAAATAATTTTCCTGGGGAGTAAAGCGTGGCCGGCACGTAGGGCTGACAACCTTACTGCCATCTTTGAGCGGATTGTCTAGACAGTGTGGGACCCTCAACGTCTCACAACCCTATGGGCCTTCACAGCCTGGTACGGGGATAGCTTTACTTTTTTTTTTACTTTACCTACTTTGGCATTGAAATCTCCTAACAAAATTTTCATATGGTACTTCGGCATTTTATCAAATAAATGTTCTAGGTCTTTGTAGAATCTGTCCTTTATATCATCAATGTTTTCTTCCATTGGGGCATGAATATTCACAATGATGATATCATACTAGCGACCTCTTAGTATTATGTACGACATCCTATCACTAATGAACTCTAACCTCTTAATTGCCGATATGATTCTCTTATGTATGAAAAAACCTGTAACTAATTAAAAATTCTCATTTCCCTTCCCACAGAAAAATGTATGTTTGCCTGCTGGTTCAGGGCACCTCCATCCCATCTGACCTGTACTCCCACTAAATCTAACTTATTATTTGAGATTTCTTCTACTAATGCTCAGAGTGAACCTGCCCTGTACTTACTTCTAATATTCCAAGTACCAAATCTCATATCCATTTTCTTTCACTTAGGTCGTTTATCCACAGAATCTGTCCAGGTCCAAGGATTCTTAAACACTTTCATAACAAGTTTATTTTTTTACCGTGAGGAGCTGTTAGCCCCACGCTCAACCCCAAAGCTGGAGGGCCACCCCTTGTTGGCTGTCTGCAACTGCTTAATCAATATATTTGCAGCGACCCTCCACACCTGGAGGGCGTCTCCTCCATCTGCAACCCTCCAATACAGGTTACCAGAAAAGGATGAAATGACACTGCCCTATTTACTTCAATTTTGGTGCCCTTGCTTCCAATTGATCTAAACATAATTGTTATTATGGTATTAAGATTATTGAAATGATCAAATAACGTGTTTCAGTACTGAATAACCATAGAAAATTTTAATGATTAAAAAGGTAATAAGCCAAAATTAATATTTTTTAAATTGTAAGCTCCAAATATGGGAAATGGACNTCTCTGGCCATTATCTCCGTAACCGTTCAACTTTGGACATAGGTGTTTTGGGTTATATCGGCATAGTTTAACATAAGGAACACCCTCCCGAAGTTTGGTCCATTCCTCCTGGGACACCCTGTATATATTATAAGGGAGGTTTTTAGTATGAATGAATGTATAAGGGGTGGGCATTCTTGGCCCTTGCACCGTGACCTACAGTGGTCTATTGTGTTCGAGGTTTTTAATAACTTCACGTGTTCACGGCTCTACGCTTCACAGTGGCTGGTGCACCGTTTGGAATGAAGGTATGTAATTAACATGTAGACATCTTGACGGTATTATGTTTCACAGCAAGCAGTGTGGTTCATGTATGAGAGTTTGTTTATGATTTGTCAGCAGTAGGCAGCAGTTATCAGCTCCATTAGCTATCTGTTCTCAGTTACAGTTAACATCATGATGAGGTATACTTTAGAGCAGTGTTTCTCAAACTATGGTCCGCAGACCACAAGTGGTCCTCAAGGTGTGCCCTTGTGGCCCTTTAAAAAAAGACAGAAGAAAAAATAAAATTAAAATGAACTGCATATCACACTATAGCTGAAAATGTGAGTTTGGAAATTACACATGGCAATCATCTTTCACTTCTACGTATCTGTGTGAGAAAGGGTTTTCATCATTAACTCAAATAAAAACAAAGTACCAAAATTGACTCAATGTATGTGACGATCTCCGACTTAAGCTTACCAACATACATCCAAATTTAGAACTGTGCACGAATCGGCAGGCTCACCCATCTCATTAATGTGAGTACCAACATTTATTTATTGTTTTAGTTAATAAGTTAAAGATTATCCAAATTCTAATAGCCTTGAATTATTAAAAAACTAATTTTCTTCTATTAACTTAATTACTTAATACTAATATAAAATTAATTGAATTAAATTAATTGTAATTAATTCTATTTTAAAATATGCTAAAAATGATAAATTTGCTTTCGAAGGGAATAAGAGTAAGGTGGTCTGCAGAACTGTTCTGACTTATAAAAGTGGTCCCCACTTCAGAAAAGTTTGAGAAACGCTGCTTTAGAGCAACATGTATTTCTGTATGATACCTATGTGAAGTACTGACCTGCTGTAAAGTGTAGGCAAAAATTTCACATAGGTTTTGTGATGAAAGAGTTCCCAGCAGGCAAATAATTCACAGTTTGGTGAATAATTTAAGTTTGTGATGATTAAATGCAAGTATGCAGAACAACCAACTGTGAAGTGGCAGGAAAATAGTATCTCTCAAGGCAAACATCTGAAGGCGAAACCAACAAAATCCAGAAGTTATGCTGATTCTTCATGAAGACTGTCATACAGATTCAAAGACATACTGGAATGTCAGTTTTGTGCAATATCCTTATTCAACAAGATGCTGAAATTTTTGGTCCATATCAGAGTGTTGCGTAGAGATGACACTGAGGAATAGGTTCTCTTGGTAGGGGATCATGTTCTCACACCACAGGGAAAATAAATAGGCCCAGTGCAGAATTTTTCTGCCAGTAGATCAAGATCATGGCACTAGATCTCTCCAGAAGTGACACACAATTTAAGAACTGCTGTATATCCAATGAAAATTATGATGACAGTGAAGCTGTGATACATGATAGGACTGGTGAATATGAAGAAAGGCTACTGACTTGAAGAAGAAAACTTTGTATATGTTTTACAATATTTTCTTTCACACATTTGTAATAGGAGTATGAAATCAGTTCATAAAATTGCTTTTACTGTGGAACATATTTCCCAATGTGGGGTCAACTTGTATTCGGAATCGCCTGTCTGGGGAAATATGGTAGGATATTGAAAAAGTGGCTGGTGTTATAATTTACAATAAAAAAAAAGATCTGTTTGAGAAAAATCTTCCTTATCTAGGTTCTTGAAGTTTTTCAAACTGTTTGTCTTGAACTGGAAAAGTAATTCTTGCACATGCCTAGTATATAATAATATGTTCGCTCTTACCATGAGGTCACAAATTCACAGGATATTAGATGGGTGACTGAAATGAATGTAAATTTATTCCAATCACTGACTGTCTTTGATAAGTACAGCATGTTGAAAGCATACAAAATATATTCTTTTAGTGACATACATGAAAGCTATCCAATATGACTGCAACCAAAACATGGTCATCTTCTTATCATGAACTAAATGCCTGCTGTTCACGTTCTTGTCTCAGAAGCTTGCGGGCTGTCTTCTGTTCCATTTCGTCATAATGTTCGGCAAACATGAGTCGCAGTGATGGATACATCATTGGGAGTAAAGGCAGTTCCCCCAGTCTCACCTAAACAGTCACATGTGTAAGTAGTATTAAACTAGTGGCAGCGACAAGAATATGTATACAATTAACAGTATGTAATTTTCCCAATCTAACCCATGAAAAATGTTTTACTTCATTTAATTGCTTTGGAGTATATGAGTACAAGTTTTTTATGTAAGTTATTTATGCGTTATTTTTTCATAATCCATCATACTGTAACCTGTCATTGCCACATATTATGGTGCCATCTTGAACTTCACTGAAATTGGGGAAGTTTAACATGTTGTTATATAGGAGCTAAATACATTTCAATTTAAATTATCTCAGCCATTACTGGACATAATGTCAGGAAATGTGATACTGGGATAATTTATTAAGCAATACTGATAAAATTATATTTTGAATTTTACAATTATGATTACTTTAAACAAGGGCATTAATAGGCCTACACTGTATTATCTTCATAAAGTCAAAAATGTTCTGGACACTAGGGAATGTCACTTGATCTTAAAGCATCTGTAGATAACGACTAATGAAAATTCATAAAAAGTTCTGGCTTTCTTTCCATCATTTGTGGTACCAGGTATCAACCAACAGACCCATTTCAAGCCTAAAACAGTCTAATTTCTTGACCTTGCGGCTTGATATCCTGTCTGTCAAGGCCGTAGAGGCTCCAAGTCACATTCTGTTTATCAGCTTCATTAGAAGAGTGAACTTGGATATTTTGAGACATGAATTCAAAGGTGAGGCTTTGAAACAGCTCCAAGTCCATCGGTTTTTCAACTGGATCTAAAGCTTCCCTTGTTCTAACAGGGTCCAGTAGAATGCTGAACCTTATTGGTAGGCGATCTCGGTCTAGAATTATCAGTGACAGTAACCTCTGACAGTCAGACGTTCTGACATACTTCAATGTCGAGAACATTTCCTCTACCATCAGGTGTGTAATACATAGAGCACTGTGAAGCTGAAATGTTGAAGTTAGAAGTAACAAATAATTCCAAGAGCTTGAAGCCTGGGGGTTCTCTGCATTCAGTCGCCTGCCAGGATGGACTTATTTCTAAAGCCTAATAGCTCTCTGATGTCTGTGTCACTCCACAGCCTTGCAGACATTCATAAACAGCTGCAAGGAACATTTCAGTGTTTCCAATCAGTATGCTGACCCCTGTTGCTTCTACTGATAGGAGAGGAGGTAAGTGAGGGATGCCTTCCTTGACAGCAAGGGTAGTTCCACCTTTGTGCACATCTTCATGGTCTCTCTGATAAATATCATAGGGCCAACAGGGCCATGTCCACTTTAAAATCTTGTAACTGTTTTCTGACCTTGTAGGACTGCCTCCCAATGCTGCTAGCACTGAATTCTATGATTTTCAGAGGTCTCTGAACTGTTGTTGGCAGTGTTCTTCAATAGTGTAAACACAGCTTTAGTTATGACAGCAACTTTTGCTTTTTCTTTTGCAGCACCAGGCAGCTCTGTCATAATCTGCTGCACCATAGCGAAGGCAAGGAACAAGTTATCTCTTGCATTAATATTTACATTTTTAGCCTGCACTGAATGACCTGAGATTTGATTGGTGTCCTGATGCATATTTCTTCCTGAAGACTGTTGCTGTTTTTATTGTGATGGTTGCTGCCGATGCTGCTGATGAGAGCTTTGAAGAGCAGTGGTGAATGCTTGATCAGGTGTTGTGTATTTTGAGAAGAACGTCTTCCCTGCTGACCTGTGCTGTAGTTCCTGTTTTGCATGAATGCAGCCTCTGTAACTTGCTGGGTGTGGTATTCCCCATCTTGCAGGTTGCAATTGCAGTGGGTTTGGACACTCTCCGAGTTCTGTTTCTCTGGATATTCATGATGGCAATGTCTACCCCTACACCACAGGCAGCAAGGAGGCTGCCTGCAGTGCACCCAGATGTGGCCAAAATGTTGACAACCGTAGCATTGTGTAACCCCGTTTTGGGATTTATAAGCTTCAACCTTTATAACTATGTTACAGAGCGCTGTCAATTTGAAGATTTCTGAGGCTTCTTGATTCTTTGCCAGAGTAAATAGGAAGAGTTACTTTATGACGGGCAGTTTACTGCTAATCAGTTTGTCTAGGTGACAAGCTACTTGAGACTCATGACCAGTATCTTTTTTAAAACTGAACATCTGTGGTCATAGTCCTTATGTAATATCAGAGGATGGGTCTGTCACTTACAACTGTTGCTGGCCCTTGCCAGTGCAGTCATTCGCAGGTCCAAGTCCCACAGGACTCATGACCACATTTTACTGTCTCAAGACTGCAGCAGCTTGAAGGGTCAGGTTCCTTTATTTATATCCCCCAGGCACATGGTGGCCCAGTGATACACCCAGGCACTGGGTTCCCTTTTCGTCACCTCCTACAACTCGCAGGGCTACAGTGGAGGTATGTGACCCTGCTTCCACACATGCAACGAGTAACTAGAAGGCTTATCTGGTCCACTTATATAGCTTCAGCACTGACCCAACAGAAATACCATGTTGCCAAGCAATGGCTCAGTGGTTCTATATTGTGATGTCACGTGTTTGTTGCCGCAGAGACGAGCTTACTGTGCCACAGCATAGATGACTTTTCTTGTTAAACTATTCAGGCTCTCAGTCATCATTTCACAGTACTTTATATTGCTTTTTTTATCTATTGTAATAAAGGTAAAGTTGTCCCTGTGCTTAATGAAATAGGCACTATGCTATGAAGGTGTCTGGGGGAGTGGATGTATAGATCCACATTTTCTTGACCTCGGCACAAGCAAAAAAGAAAATATTTTTGTCAAAGTAGACTGGGCACATTACAAACTGTGCAACATTTTGTTTCAAAAATTTAAAAGACGTCTTGGGAATTCTAGGAACAAACTGTATTAAAATGAATTTTAGGAAGTGGGCTGTCAAGATGTCAGTCTATTAGACAGAAGTCAATCTCGGGTCTAATGGCAGGGCAAATGTTCAGATTCCATACCAGGAAATCCATTGAATAACTATCAACTGCTCAAAGAAGATCCTAAGCCATGGAATTATATAGTCCTAACTTCTCAAATTAATGTTAAAAGGAAATCTGATTACTCTACTGTTTTCACTATGGAATTCTCACATTTAAGATGTAATCCTAAACTCAGTTGTAAAAATACAACAAATTCTGTAACCTTTGACACTCTCAATGATAAAACCTCTGGTAACGAATGAAATTCTGTGTTCTGGTTAGATACAAGATATGGTACTGCAGTTACATGTTTTCAGATAAAGAAGTCTCCTCTAACAGAACTGAAAAGTTACATCCTAAATGTTCAAACATGATCCAAACACTCGAGAAGTCAGGGCAGTAAAACCTCTCTCATATAAACCTCACCATCCATGAATTCAGGACTGTGCTAAAATATGCAGGACAGCTGGTCAACCTGTCTACAGGCAAATCGTGATTTACTGGCTATAAATTACAGGAACCGTAATCTTCCATAAGTTTGGTTATATGGCGATTTTTGAAAACTGACATAAGGAAAATTTGTTTGTAAATTAAACTAACATAAGATTTTGACCACACACCTGCATGTTATCAAATGATATACCAACATCTTTCGTAAAGTTGGCATTGAGGCGTGGCAGTTTGGCATAACGTTGGCTGAAGTGTGTCAAGAGTGTAAACTTGGCTCCCATTCGCAGCCCAACTTCAATTGCTTGTGAAGTTGTAGAATGCAGTTTTGACTGAGCTTCTCTCATAAGTTCATCCTCCATTGTGGCTTCATGAATCAGCAAGTCACTCCCTCTACCTGACAATTCATCACCATATTCATCATTATATCGGTTCTCCAATCATTAAAACTTTCACTGTTAATGAAAAAAATTCTCTGAGTCAGCTGTTTTCTTTCAACATTCTTTAAAACTGAATTTGTATCTAAGATATTACTTTTCATATTTGTCTTTATGAGAAAAACTGGCAAGTAAAGACACTTCTCAGTATTTTACTAAAACAGCCTTCCTCATATATTTGTGTGCTGTACAATAAATGATACTGTCCCACATGTGCAAAAACAGTTGTCACACATCACTTGTGCCAAAAGCAAACATACCAAGATAGTATCTTGCCTGTGTACACCAATGAAGAGCAGGTGACTGTTGCAGGATTTCTGTGGGCAAAAGCTATAAAAGTGGTTGAAATTCACTTACAAATGTCAGTTCAGTATGGAGAGGGTGGAAAGCTTGAGTAGGCCAAGAGATTAAAAGCAGATGAAGAAGACCTAGGTGAAAAAGTGCCCAGAAGACCAAAGGATTTCACTTATATCACCACAGAGATGAAGTTATGATCTAAGAGAACATGCAAACTACAATCAGTTACAGCAGTCATAATGAATATTGGTTATATGTAGATCTGTATTCCACGATTCATTTCCATATGAATTCTGTGAAGCTACTGTGAGATAAATGCCAGAGTTATTGACATTACAAATTTAAAATACCAATGGTACTCACACTTAGCTCTCTGAACGTTCAACTTCTTTTCTGTTGCAGTTCACAATTACTAAATGTTTTAGGTTTTCCATATTTAGTCGCCTCCCATTGTCTCATAATATGTCCTTATAGCGGGAAAAACTTTCCACCTCACAGGAACTTAGGGGCGCATGTACAAAAGCCGCTATTTGCTCTACTGTTAGTGATTCTTTTACTTGGCATTTCAGTATGTTTACCGGCTAAAATTTCTTCAATTTCACAAATTTGTTCATATCCTGGATTTTATGAAAGAATGCTGTGTACTTTTTCCTTTACTACCTCACCAACTCTTACAGGAACTGAATTCAATTTGGAAACAGTGGTTTCGAACACACTTAACAACTGATACAAAGTAGCATTGCTATTGCTTGCCTCCAGTGAGGAAATGGAGGATGGAAGATGAGAGAAGTGAGCAGATATATAAGAAAGATTAGTTTCTAGTTCTGTGTTTTTTAGTACATCTTGGGCAATTTGAAATGATGCTGCACTTTTGGGATGAAATGTATTCATGACATTCCTAACTGTTTCTAAATGTTCGGTATAATAACTCGCTGCACACAGCTCCATGCCCCAGCGTGTTAAAATTGGTTTTGGCGGAAGTGGAACGCTTGGTGCTACTGCTTTAAAGGCTTCATTTCTGTATGGCGCTTTAACAAATACCTTCTTCAGAGAAGACACCAACTTGTCAACAAGCAGAAAATTTGCATGAATTGCTTCTGCAACACAGTGTAACCAATGGGCAAGGCAAGTCAAATGTGTCTTATCTGGAAATATAACTTTAAGAACAGTACTGGCTTTCATCATATAACTTGCGGCATCAGTCACAAAGAGCAATACGTGCTCATACCGAATGCCATTCGGCCATAGTAAATTCATGGAATTGATAAAAAATTTGGAAACTGCGGAGCTATTTGTGGTTTCAAATTGCTCTACCACAAGAAGATATGGGGTAGATTGTTCATTCTTATTAAGGGATCAAACTATACAATTTGCAATAAACCGTCCCTCACAATCTTGTGTTTTGTCAATTGATACCCACATAAAATTATCTTGAATCTTATCTCTAATGCTTTCAATTGTAAGATCGTAACACTGTTTCACGTAATTTTTGCGCACAGTAGATTCATCCGGCACCTTGCACTGTGTATACCTCTCTATGAAGTTTCTCAGAGTAGGATTGGTTATATGATATAAATTCCGTCCTAAGTGCAACAATTTATTGTAGGTCTTTCGTTTTGCCTTCTTCTACACTACATGTTTCGGCCGCAAACGGCCATCATCAGGTGTATACACTCACGTAGCTGTTACACTGCACCCAGTTTAAAATTTAAAAACACACAGGTCTTCCCAATTGGCTAACAGGATCTACTTCGCTGCTATTTGTCAATATTGACATTCATGAACTGGCACTTTTAAAATCTTCAGTTCCAATTTAGAAAACTCCTTTAAATTTTTTTTTTTGTATAATGTATACAGTGTAACAGGATGCTTAAATATAATATTGGGATTGGTTAGTTTCCACAGTGGAATATCTGCTGCTAAAAAGGCTTCGCATAAATCAAAGGAAAACTGAAAAACTATTATTAGAAAATTCACTAAGCAATTTTTGAACAGGAGCACGTTTGGCAGATTTAATTTTAATATTCTATTTGTGTATATTAGTGTTCAAATGCTGAAGCACTTGAAAGCGTTTTTCACAACCAACTGTTTTCTCACACGCTCAGCAATAAAGAATTTCGTTATCCGTACTTATCATCTCTCCTTGGAACTGGCACTGATACAGCTGTAATTTATTTTTCTGACTTACTTTCACTTTCAGCATGACTACAGAAAGCTAAATAAACTTAATTACAGACTAGTCACCACTAATGCGAATGGGCCTCAGCTTCAAATGAAGAAGCGTAACAAACCTCATGGAGACTTCAGAAATAAATAAGTGAAGTCCCTTATCGTTGAATAGTATTACATTGATAGTGGCTACATGTNGCTTCTCTGTCAATGTTCGCTTGCTCTGCTATGCTCCTAAGAGTCAGCCAATGATTTTCACGCATAATTTGACAAACTTTTGCAACGTTTTCTTCAGTTCTGCTTGTTGCTGGCCATCCTGATTTCTCTTCGTCAGTGACACTCTCTCTTCCTTCAGAAAAATGTGTCACCCACTTTTAAAGTGCCGTTTTCTTCATAGCATTATCCCTGTAAACCTGCACTAACATCTCTCTGGTTTTGCTTCCACCNGTATGCAACATATTCTAATATGGAAAAGAAAATTTGAACATAAAATTAAAAAATAGATATGCAGTATCAGTACAGATCTTCAAAGATATGATGCTTATTCATAAAACAGGCAAAATATGCATTTATATGCACCATCAAACCACGTCCATAATTTAAGAAATTAAGTAATTCATACATATATCCAAACGAGCATACTTTCTGGTTGCAAGAAAAAAATATGCATTTGCATTAAAATCCGGTCCCTAGTGATAATACAGATACTATAAAGAAAAAAAAAACTTTAACTGACACAAGTAAGGAGGTTGGTCTAGAAGTAAACACAGAGAAAACTCAGTATATGTTACTTTCTCATCACCAAAATGCAGGGCAAAAGATGGATAGGTAAAAGATGTTTTGAAAATGTGGCACAGTTCAGATATTTGGGAACAATGATAACAAATCATAACCTGATTCAGGAGGAAATTAAGAGGAGATTGAGCTGCCATTCAGTCTAGAACCTTTTGTTTTCTTGTTTGCTGTCCAAAAACATAACAATTAAAATACACAAAACTATAATTTTGCCTGTGATTCTGTATGGGTGTGAAATTTCGTCTCTGATATTAAGGGAGGAACATGGACTGTGGGTGTTTGAGAACAGGGTGTTGAGAGTATTTGGACCAAAGAGGGATGAAATGAGAGGAGGTTGGAGATAACTGCATAATGAGGGGCTTCATGACTTGCAGTGCCACTCTAACAGTGCCAATGTTCTCCAGAGAATGCACAGATGAAGGCCCCCAACATTTCCTCTCCAACACTGAACCATCATTATTAAATTGGTTAAAAATTTATGAACTGTTTTGAATGAAGGTGCCCATCACATTTGAAAATGGGCATGTAAGTGCCTCTGGGTGACCACAACACTCACTGTGACAGTACAGAACAACACTGTTTTTATGCACAGTTCTACAGTCTTCCTTTGTCAGCCATCTTGTGTATACTGGCTCATAAGCAGGAACAGTGTAACATTAACAAGCTCAGGAAGAGTAAGAACTGATCTCCATGACCTACTGTGTTAACCATCTTATAAAACATTGTTCAATGCATGGTTGAATAATTAATACTAAATCAAATACTGGATCATTTCGTGCACCACCCTGTATATGCCTCTCTTTTGTTACACTATTCCAGTTTTTAGCCATCACATCACAGTATGTGGTCTGACAATAAAGTTTGCGAACTCACTGCACTAAAAGTGCTACATACCTCACTGCTGAATATCACTGTGGTCGCCTTCAAAGTACTCCCCTTGGGAAGCTATGCACCGATGCCAGCGCCCAGTCCACCCTTCGAAACAATTTTGGAACTGGTTTTGTGGCACAGCCTTCAGAGCTGCCATCATATTACTCCTGATGTCATCAATGTCATCAAAATGCCTTTCTTTCATTAAATCCTTTATCTTAGGGAACAGAAGAAAGTTACTGGAGGCTAGATCCGGTGAATGGGGGTGGGGGTGTTCAAGCAGTTATTTGTTTACTAGCTAAAAATTCCCTCGCAGGCAGTGCTGTGTGAGCAGGTGCATTGTCGTGATGCAAGATCCATGAGTTGTTGGCAAAAAGTTTTGGTCATTTCCATCTAACTTTTCATGCAGCCTTTTCAGTACTTCCAAATAGTAAACTTGGTTGACTGTCTGTCCAGTTGGTACCTCATAATGAACAATCCCTCTAATATCAAAAANCTGAAGCACTTGAAAGCGTTTTTCACAACCAACTGTTTTCTAACACGCTCAGCAATAAAGAATTTCGTTATCCGTACTTATCATTTCTCCTTGGAACTGGCACTGATACAGCTGTAATTTATTTTTCTGACTTACTTTCACTTTCAGCATGACTACAGAAAGCTAAATAAACTTAATTACAGACTAGTCACCACTAATGCGAATGGGCCTCAGCTTCAAATGAAGAAGCGTAACAAACCTCATGGAGACTTCAGAAATAAATAAGTGAAGTCCCTTACAGTTGAATAGTATTACATTGATAGTGGCTACATGTGAATGCTTCCAACTAATCTCTTCACGGCCTCTTTGATGGTACACGGATGAGGAAAGTTATGAGTAGAGGGATCGGGGAAGTCCCGTCCTGGGTATTGCATCAGAAACATGAATCATGACAAAATGTTGAGTCAAATGTGTATGCAACATATTCTAATATGGAAAAGAAAATTTGAACATAAAATAACATCTCTCTGGTTTCGCTTCCACTCTTGCCAAGTTTAACAAGAAATTTAATGTTCATTCATTGCTCTAATTCAAGCATCCTACATTCTCGTGATGAAACACCAAAACACACTAAAACAATAATAGACGCCATTGAGAAACAGACTGCCATAGATCAACAACACAGCTGTGAAACACTGATATGTCAACTTCATCAAACCACACTGAAGTTTCTGTCCACTGCTGCCATGGCAAGTACACGGTGGCGAGCTCGCGAACTTTATTGTGAGACCTTGTATCTTCCTACTCTTGTGAAAGAAGTACTCTAGAAGTACACAAACAAGGAGATAACGCAAACCTATACTTACAAGCCAACAAAACACATACTACAACAGCACAAGGCCAAGAAGAACCCCAAAGAAATACAGTGGTAGAAGGGAGACATATACACACAGCTGCTACATCCAGATAAATAATAAGAAATTTAATTTTAATGATTTAACATTTAAGCAATTAATATATAATCTCAGAGATGAACACACCTTTTATACATGACAGCATTACACACTACCAGATAAATACAGGTGAATATAAGAAAGCAAAATATGTGATGATGGCATAAAGTGCTGAAGCATGTGAGAAACAACGAATGTATTCTGTGTCCACACTACGTACTGTGGTGGTGGAAAAAATAAAGACATTTCACATACAATATGACCCGAAGATATAATATTTCTAAGTACTCTAGAATTTGGTATAACTGACTAAAAGATAACACAAGGGGGACAATCAATCTCCATGGGGGACCTCTCATATACTAATACAAAGGAACAGAATTAACTGCTACCAAAGGAAAGGTGAGTTCATCCCAAAAGTACAGAAACACAGTTAAAAGATGGAATACAGTTTAATATGCTGCTTCCATAATCCCAAAGATATGAAACCAAACTTCTTCATTTTTCTCATCTTCCTTTATGTCTACTGTACATACCAAGCTCCACCAGATCATCACAGGGCATTGTATCACCAGAGTATGTCAGCTTCCAGCCATCACAGTGCCTGAATGCCACTCCAAATGCATTAGGACAGTGTTTGACTGGAACTGTGCTGATGTCAGACATATGTAGATATGTTAACAACTGTGAGTACAGGTCAGCTTCAACATTCCGCCTTCCCATGTGCTGCAAAACAGACAAATATTATGAACTGATGTGAATCTGCACAAACAAAAAATGGGAAGTATCAAAGTAGTCAGTATTGTAACATGGATGGACAGAGCATTGCTAGGTCACTGATCATTAAACACCTCATGACTGAATACATGCAAGGCAACAACAGGATCTGAGTGTACCAAGGTTTGTATGCCGTCTACATTTGCATCTGTCCTTTGGCTGCCCACTTCTTGGGTCATCTTGCACATTTTCTCACCCTTCCTTCAACCGCCTATGCTATTAAAAAATACTACATTTCTTCACAGCATATTCAACATAAACCACTGTTAATAGGGCTTATGTTCCACTAGCACTTTTACCAGTCTTCACACAAAACCTTGTCACTCACTTTTCCGCCAACAGTACACCACAGACATGTACCTAATACTTCTTCTGCTCTTTGGGAATGAATGACTCATTTGGTCTGTGGTTCATGGAAACGCAAGCTAAAACATGTTTAAATGTGCTTGGGTATATGAGTTTGCCAGACTCAACAACCCACCAATATGCTGTGGCCATTCTGGGAATTAAATTGTCACACCTTGCACATTGTAGAAAGGAAGCATATGCACAAATGCTACAGGAAGTTATTCGGATGATTTCTGAATGCCACAGTACTGAATGCAGTAACTTGTAGGCATAATAGTGGAAAGTAAATCGATCAACTAACATTCTGGGTCACTTTAGTGGAGGTGCTCTATCAACAGTTCACTGATACTGAAGGCTAAGTAGCAGGTCACCAGATAGCAGAAAACATTATTCCATGATTGAACAAAGCTCCTCTTTCTGGAAAAATAAAAAAAAATTAACACTGCAGAGGAGGTTCATGGTACACACCAAACATGAATAGAAGAAAGATACAAGATTTTTCTGCCTACAGTGCGATGTTGGACTGTGTCTAGAGCAATGTTTTGAAGACTATCACACAAAACTTTATTTCCAAGGTAATAAAATTATTTTAAATTCTGCACTTCTTAGATTTTATGCCATTTTTCATAAAAAATATATTTTTGAGACAAAACATTAAAATATCCCTGCGCTGTATATATGGTCTAAATCTACATTAAATTTCCCTGCGCTGTATATATGGTCTAAATCTACATTATTTTCTGAATACATGGTTAACTTTTCACTTTTTTTACATGAATTTTAGTAAAAGCTGCACATTTTGGATGACAGTATTTAACTGTCTTTCATCTGCATTGTAAGGTTGCTTTTAAGTGCCCAACACTGCCAAAGGGTTAACCACTGAGACATAATTTAATTTAATTTCTGCACTTTAGTGGCTATTTTGACCACAGATTTTCTCATGAACACCAAAAATTAAAAAGTTCTGGGAAGAACAAACTGCCTACTTTCCTATTATACTACACAGACTGCAAGAATTCTGTTGCTGTGTGTATATTTGTTGCCACTGGAATGTGTATATTGCGCTGTTGCCTAGAAACCAAGCAAGTACCTAACAACAACAGAGGGCATACACATGCATACTAAGTCACCAAATTTCCTCTGATATGACACAGATCACACAGAAAACGATGCACCCGAAAATTGTTCTGTTGTGGCATGCGCATTTGTTGCCTTGGAAATGAGTTTACCAAGTCGCTGCTTAGCAATGATTGGGGGATACACATACAGACACACAGACAGCAAGGTGATAACATAAGCCTGCTTTCTTTATTTTGAAAAAATAAAAAAGTTGGCTTATGAGAGTAGGCTGAAAATGAGGGAGAAAGAAAACATTCCACAACACAGCACTCTGTGGAGGAGCTCTGTCCATAATTTTAGAAGAGTGAGACTAAAATATTACCATATTTCTCAAAACCAGCCATCATACCAGGAAAAAAAAACTGTCTGCAGTATTCTCACCAGATCTCCATTGGCAATCAGTAAAAACTCCTGTAGTACAGGCTCAAAGCAGTTGTGATAGAGCTTTAGCCAAGACATGATTTGCTTGGGTGCAATGAGAAATACAGGACTCTGTGGGAGAGCTCGTTTGCGTCCCTTGAGCAGGCCAACCAACCCAATGTGGTGGTCAGCATGAAGGTGAGATATAAACACAGCTCGCAGCTTTCCAAGGACAGCATCCACTGCTTCTGGTCCATAAAACCTCACCAGCTGTCCATAGGTTCCCTCTCCACAATCCAGCATGATGCAGTCATCTTCACTGCGCAAAGAGACAGCAGCATTTGAAAAAGAAACTGTGATCATACAGTCCACACCACAAATAACTGGCAATTTTAATTATATAAATTACAAAACACATTTATAAGATTAATAGGCATAGGCCTATCTACCTAGATGCCCTAGGGTGAGCGCCAACACAGGGAGTTCAAACAATAGGATATGTTATCATCTCTTTCATTCAGGCCAAAGTGAAGTGCCTGTGAGAAAAAGAAGTTCAATTTCTGTACTGTTAGTTCCTCGGAACTCTAGCTGTGGTAGAGGGGTCATACCATCTCTTGTGGAGCAGGGGGAGCAGTCTTATCAGCTTATGTCAGCGTGGGTACTACCAGTTTGGAATGTAGAGTCTTGGGAGTGTGGTCAGGTGTATAGTACTACTCCTGGTCTCCGTAGGCAATGTTTTCCGCTTGGGGAGTAGCACTGAATGTCATCACAGCAAGCGTACAGCTTCGCGTGCTCCACAACAGCGTTTACCTTTCCGCGTGGCTAAAGTTACGAGGCATTAACTATACCTAGCCTCAAAGCAGGAGTTGAGACTCCAATGGTAAAATGTGCTACAGTGGTTTAGGTTGCTGTAGGGGCAGGGCTTCTAATCAGTGTTCCTCTGAGTTTGGCTGATAAAGAAAGTTTGAAGGAGACACAAAAGGGAGTTCTTACAGAGATACTGGAAGAGGCAGTTCTTGGATTAAGATAGAGGGAAATAGTTGTGAGACAGATACAGAAGTGTTAAGTTTGGCAGCACGCAGCCAGTTCATTGTTCAAAGGGAGTGATCATTCTTCTAATGTGAAAGTGTTTAATATCAGTGATTTGTGCAGTTGTGACAGAAAATATCAAATTCACATGAGAACTGAACCTGACTTGATTAATCATGAGACTGAAGAACTCTGATCTCTTATCACCTAATCTGAATAAGTGACATCCCATCCAAAGCCCACAGGCTTTCCCATTTCGGCAGTTGAAGACCAATTATACCCTGGAACCTAAGAGATCCATGCTCACTGACTAGTCTGGCAGCCTGTGAATTGACCTGCTCTCAAGACCATGTAGAACTTTGAGAACTAAAAGGGGTGAATCATGATGTCACTCATGGTCAAAGGTGAGTGACAACAAAGGACAGTTGCAACTTTGTCTCATAAAAGGAAGAAAGAAAATATTCAGATCCAGGTGTTCATGAAACAACTGAGAAGACGTGCAACAAGAATGATCTCAGATCTCTTATTAAACCTTCATATGTCTTTTAACTTACAATAGCAAAGCTTCTGTTAGCATGTAATAAGAAGGGCATATGTAAGAGACGTTTTTCATGGCAATGTGAGCTGGGATAGCACAGTTGGTATAGTGACTGGCTATGGGCTGGATAACTGAGGGGTTGGAATAACAGAAGCACAAACCTTCCTTTCCTGGTCTCAAGTGAAAGGCAGCACAGCCAATTTACAGTTATAGGCAAATATAAATATTCTATCATCCCTTCCCCATTATCCTTCTATTATGAGGTCCTATTGGAAAGTTCCTGGACTAGGTCAAAAACGAAATGATGGCTTAACTTACTCAATTCAAATCAAATACCCAATCTCCTTCAAAGTAGTCTCCTTGGGAGTGTACACAGTGATCCCACCGTTTTTTCTACACTTCAAAAGCATCATGAAAGAAATTTTCCTTCATGCTGTCAAGTGCCACTCGTGATTCCCTTTGGCTGTCGGACATGGTTTCAAAACTTCGTCCCTTCAGTTTCATTTTCAGTTTGGGATACAACGCAAAATCAAAGGGGGCTAAGTCCAATGAGTAGGGAAAAAATCTTTGGTTTTCAGGGACGTGTGGGTGGACGTGTTGTCGTGATGAAGGAGCAATGTGGCGCATGTACAAATTTTCTGTTAAGATCTCCTGGCAAACTCCATAACTGATCCCAACGGTGTCTGCAAGCTCATGGATTGTTCAGGGATGGTGTTCGTGGATAAGTTCTCGAATTTTTTCAATATTTTCTGTCCTTCTGTTGGTGCTTGGTCACCATGAACGTTTATCATCTTCAACTGACAATCGACCAGCCTTGAAACGTGAATGCCATTGAAAAACTGCTGTCTGACTTAAAGAATGTTCTCCAAAAGACCCATGAAACATTTCAAGAGTTTTTGTAGCGGATTTACTGAGCTTCACACAAAACTTTATGTAGACACATTGCTTGATTATGCCATCCATTGCAGACAAAAAGAAACACGAAGTCAAAAAAGCACTCATGTAAAAACAATGTGACCGACTGATGTAATAGGCTTGCTGAAGTGTGAACTTGGCCTTCCCCTCTCCTTTCACCGAGGTGGTTACAATAACAGTCTTGGAACTTTCCAATACCATCTCATAATGCTGAAATATTTTAGTCCTTTTTCAAAGCCTGATAGTGTATAGCTGTTGCTTATATAACGGAGGAACAAAGGGGCTTGGCCTACATGTAGAGGAGGCAATGTCCTTATGCATGCTTTTCACTCTCTTTTCTGCCAACATCATCATACAAGATCCTATCGGATATAGTGTAGCAATATGATGTGCCTATATCATACCTGATATGAATCAGAATGCTGCTGGTGTTGCGTGTCTTATTGGGTATGCAAGATCCAGTTCCAAGAAAAAGGACTTGTGGGAACTTTTTCAAAGGATCAACTTGAATCTCTGCAAGCTTCTGCTTCAAGTCAGCCAAAGCCTCTGGGAACCCCTCCTCACACAGTGTCTCTTTTACATACAGCTTGGGGTTCAACTTCAATTCTCCTTTTCTGCAAAAAAATATAAACTTTTCATAAGAAAGTATGTTGAAATGATGTGGAAAAATATGTTTTGAATGATAGCATGATGGTACTTTGCTGTGTGACCACAAAGGGAATGACCAAGGGAGATTCCCTGTCTGCATTGCTGATTCTACTTAAAACAGAACTTCATTGCTGGTTACTGTAAAAGGGCAACAGAAACATATCACAGTTTGTAAGAACTGCTGAAGTGACCTGCCTCTGCCTTCAAGCATGCCACACAGCACAAAAATTTTGCAATACTTTCTACAATTCAGCTTTCGAAACTGAAGCAATTATATGCGTAATTTTGTTCCGAACAGCTTTTCAGAGTGAGAATTATATTTGTACACTCTCCCTTCAAGAAGGTACAGAGATAACACAGGAACTAAGATCTCTGGATACAGATGACTACACTCCTTTGCTGATTATTTTCAAACACCTCATTTATATTGGCCACGGACTTGACAGCAACATGTGCTGTAAATACCTGTCATTCTTTAGCTGCCACTTGTTTGAAGAGACTGAATACACTGCTCATCTACCAATCTGCATTCATTTTGCTGAAAAATATCTGGCTTTAGTTTCTTAGAGCAAATATAAACAAAAAAGCATACAATTTGTTTTAAGCACTGCAAGGCATATTTGAAGGCACCTGCTCTTATAAAATATGGTAAGTTTGTGTAGCATTTTTACAGTAGTTGGTAACGAAGTTCTGTTTAAATAGAGTCATCGATGCAAGCAGGGAAAACCCTTTGGTGGTTTCTGTCAAGGTGATGGAGGAAACTACCACGATGCCACATGCTGCAGCATGTTGCATGTTTCCTTTCCATCTGATCAGTCTGTATTAGGAGGAGTTATGAAATGTACAGTTCACTTTGAATGCATGTCTAGGGATGTTTTGTGAAATTAAAATCAAGACACCTGCACATGGTGTATTTTTGCACTAGATTTTCAGAGCCTGTCAAAGTTGTCAAAAGTAACCTTAAAGGATCATGTCACAATATTAGCACTTTTCATCACAATAAAAGCTGTTTGGGAAAAAAAAAATCTTAACATATACATGTAACTAATAATCATAAGGCCATCAAGCACAAATGTAAATACCGGCGACCATATTCAAACATTTCAAAGAATTAACTTTATAAAATTACTTCTTACCCACAGAACACCAGGATACTGTGTCAAATGACAAAAAAGTGTACAGGCCGGTAAGTATTTGTTTCAAGGTCGTACTGTCACAAAACTGTAATTTTGTAACCATTTCTTTTATATAAATGGAATAATCAAGACTGTTATGAACTCTTTCTTTATAATAAACAAACATGAAAGTCACATACCACTGTTCACTGTTAGCTGAGGCTTATTCCAACCTTCAACAAGTCAAAACTACATAAGCTACTAAATAAATAAATGAACTATCCCCATGCTTAATTAAGCATCATACTGTGAGGATATGGGGGAGTGGAAGTAGAGATCCACTCATTCTTCATCTGGGTACTAGAGAGAAGTGAGTGACCAACTTCAAGCATGGCCAGTGAATAAATAATCAACATTAAACTACCAAAAGACAACTAAATAACAATAAACTGTTTTATTATACCCATGCTTCAAAACCTATTTTAAGGACACTACATTAATAGAATAAAATAATTTTGATTTCAATGCAGTTTAAACTCAATTAAGACTTCCTTTTTTTGGGGATCTTCTGCTGATCTGTTTCCACGTACACTGTTCTATTACAATCAAGAATAAAGGACATCAGCAGCACAATTAATTATATTTTAGGAATGTGCAAGAATTCAATTTTCTGTTTGAGATGAGATTGAGATAAGAATTTTGGAAAACTTCAAGAATCAAGACAGAAATGACAATTTACTCTAGCGGACCATTTTTTTCACTACTGTAATTTATAACATTAGCCACTTCTTCAAAATGTGCCAAAGTGTAATACCACATTTACCTGAACAGACGATGATTGAATGCTAGTTCATCCTGCATTAGCAAACATGTCTGCACAGAAATAATAATTGTATGAATTACTTTCAGAATCTTATTACAAACATTTGAAAGAAAATAACAAGAGAACATACTGCTAAGTGTTAGTGACTAGATATGGAGTCTGAATTGATAACTGGATTTGCTGAATGTTTATAACTTGTAATAACTGTAACAGTCTCACTTATATGCTCATATAAAGTCTTTTGTTTGTTCAGTAGCTGTAGCTAGGTAGTGGCTACTAACAATGTGGTCCTCACTATATAGCCTCAGCACAGACCACATAGGAAATATAGCTTCCATGGTTCCTCTTCTGTTGCTGTGGATATGTTTACCATGCTACTGCATAGAAATGAGAGCCTCTTCTTGTTAAACTAATCCAGCTTTCAGTCCCTGTGTGACAACCTCTCTGACAAGAGGATGAGTTTCTCTCTCATGTATATGCTTCACCTTTGTCAAGTATACATATTGCACAAACAGCATGTTATTGAAAATTCTTCATTTTATAAAACATACAAGTCTTCTGTCAGTCCATGATGCGCAAAGCAAATCATGCCTATCTTATTTATCTCACACTATGGTTATGCTAGAACAGTCATGAGCTTGACCATCACCAAGTTTAAGCCTCTTATATTTTCTATGCTCCTGTAATTTTAAGTGGTGGGTGTCTGCCACAAATTGCACAGTCAAAATTGCATAAGTCATTACTGACCTGATCAGATCTTTATCGAGGGTTAGTTTAATGTTAGTGCTTGAATGCTCAGTTTTGAATAGGGAGTAGATTTTAAATAATGTTCCGAACATCTTGGCTTTGATCATTTCTATATGCAGTCTCCATGTAATCCTCATATCGAAGCTTATACCAAGATATTTTACATGATTGACTGGACTTTTCCCAGTGGTCCCAGTGCTATCCTCAGCATGGACAGTACAAAAAATTTTACTTCCATGGTTCCTTTACAATTGTGTGTTCATCTGCTTCCATGGAAATGTGCTTACCACACTGTTGCATAACAATGACCACCTCTTCTTGTCAAATTGTTCCAGATTTCAGCCATTATGTCACAATATTACACACGTAACATCCTCATTTAAACTTGGTGAGGGCAAAAGTTCAAAGAGTGGTCAATGCTCCTATCATGGCTCTTAATCTACTGTTAGTGGTCTCTTCTTTCATTTCGGAGGGGACCGAGCCCTCCACAATGTCCTGATATTCATTTTCCACAGTCTAATGAAAGTCCTATTTTATTCAGGAGCTCCAGCTTTACAGTCTTCTTGAAGATCCTGCCAGATGTCCTGTCCTTCCTCAGATATAGTTCCTCCTTTAAGCCTTGGACCCTTATGCCATCATTCAATTCTGGTTTTGCCTAAAATCTCTTTCTGAATGTCTGTCGTTTCTGGATTCTTCTTGCAACACTGGCCTTGGTCTGATTTTTCCATCGTCACTGTTTGACCACTGGTCCTGTATGACTGCGTCCCTTACATCATGCCACTCCTGCATGGTGAGTCATCTCTCTGCTGGTGGTGGTGAACTTCTTCTCGGACCCACTAATGCCCTGGATCTGTTTCGACAGCTGTTGGTGGTGCCCAACAGCTAGATGCTTGTCCCCATACCAGTTCTTCAGTGCTCTGAAAGTTTTCACTGCAGCTTCTTCTTTAGGGACTTCTTGCTGCTCCGTTACAGTCTCTTTTTCTTCAGAATTTGCCTCCATCTATCCTAGATGGGCCTCCATTTTCTCTAGATGGAAGTCCACCCTGGCCATCATCCTTTCATGATGGGCATCTAATTTGGTCAGCATTTCTTCTTTCAGGAGTTCTTGGCCGGCTTTCAATTCCTTTAGGGCGGTGTCCGTCTTTACTTGGTTGGTTCCTATTTCAGCCTGTATTTTGGCCAGCAGGCATGTCATCATTTTTTCACGTCTCCATAGCATGGTGGCATAGCTTCTTACTGCAGTCTCCAATCCATCCAACTTCTGACACCAGCTGTCAGGTTTAGGGGTGACTACAGATGGGCTTTGAATTGGTGAATGGATTTACTGACAATTTATACAAATGACTCAGAATTACAGTGCTTTTGCTCATCTACACACTTTACAAATCAATACAGCACACCCTAAGCCTCAGTCTTTTATCGTGCCCCTAGTCGTTGCTTGGTAACAGCTCTCAAAAATGGAGATTCTTCAGCTTCTGTGTTCATGCTGTTGCCTGCTGTCTAATACTACTCACAACTGAACTCATTGCTCCAAATGTACTGGTTATAATATCTTGGCATGGACCACATAGAAAACACCCTGTTCCCAACAGTAATTCTACTGTTGCATGCATATTTGTTATCGCAGGAATGTGTTTACCGAGCTGTTGCTCAGATATGGTCACTGTTTGCAGAGTCACTGCTTAGTAATGGGTCTATATGACACAATGTATATATATATATATACATATATAAAACTTGAATTTGTGATGTCTATCCGCAGATTTGTATCCCCTAAAAGGGAAAAGAATATGAGTCTTCCATACACACAAATACAATACTGTCTAATATTAGCCCACTGTGCAAAGAAAAAGCAGCGACCAGAAAGTTATCAAAACTGAGAAGAAAAACTAATGTTTGAATCAAGAATTTGTTTCTCAATTTGAGCTTGAAAATTTGAGACTCACACACACTTATTATATAATAATTAAATGCATGTTTATGTACATGCAGACCTATAAATTAAGATGGGAGGATGATTTGTTTAATAATTATTGAAAATAGGAACCTCAGATTATCTTCGGGTATGTCTGGAAGACCATACTTGATTGTTGAACATATAAGATCAGAACTGTAAACACAGTAAATGGTCAGTCTTTCTTGAATTATCTCAAAAACTAGAAAAACTTTAAAAAGAAAGTGTACTGAACATAAAAGTGCTTCACTTTTCTCTAGAGCTTTTCTTCAAATTGTTTTTCAGCCTAATTTGGTGAGTTATGCTACAGACATGCATGTACAAAGCCAAAAACACCACCATCCAGTGTGACTATTTAAGTTTTATCACTTGAAAACTCATCACCCTTACATGTTTCGATCCCTATGGATCATCCTCAGAGGGCATCAATACTTTTTCCGGAAACTACTATTATAATAGGTGTTAAATTATATACATACACATGTAATGTCTCAAATACACAATGTTCAACTTTTCACAGTCACAACAGCCTTCCTGGTATTAAAATTTGTTAAAAACTTTTTTGTTTAAGATTAAAATTTATAAACCATGCAGGTTTGTGTCAATTCTCGTATTGTCTTTCTTGGAGGTGGCTGATCCTGTGCCGCCTGTCTATCTTGAGAAAGGAGATTCTTAGTATTGCCTGTGTTGTTCGTGGCTTGCTGTGTTGCTTACAC